TGTTGCCGCCGACTTTGCGGGCTTGTCCATCTCGATGCAGACCATAAGCCTCCATCTTCTCGGTATGGTTTACACATGTAAACAAGTTCGCATTGAGCCGGACACATGCAACAACGACATGAACAAGGAGAAACGACGGGCGTTTGCGGCGAAGCTCAAGCAGCATCAGCAAGAGGGTGACTTCGTCGTGTATTACGACGAAACGAATTACAATCTCTACTGCAAACGCAGCCGGGGACGTTCGAAACCGGGAACTCGCGCGTCGACCGTCCTGCCGCCATCCAAGGGGCCGAACCTGCAAATCAAGTGCGCTGTTTCTGCCGAACTTGGTCTTGTCTGCTATCGGCTTGAACAAGGCTGCATCAAGATGGACGAAAATGCGGCCTATGTCGAAACGATCTACCAAGCCGTGAAGATGAACGCTGCATGGCAAGACAACTTCGCGGGAAAGCGTGTTGTCATCGTGTTGGACAACGCTCCAGTTCATTCTCAAACGGAGGAACGCGTTGTCCAGCACGATGACATGACGCTCTTGCTCCGTATTCGCCTATGCTGAATCCCATTGAGAGCTGTTTCAGCGTCCTCAAGTCCCGCATCAAGGGTTACCTGGCGCACCACACAGCCGACATGTTTGAGCGGGGTGAGTACCGCACCTTCCTTGAGCGCCGAATGGTCCTACTCGAAGACGCCGCTCATGAATCCATGCCGTGCATCTCACAATCGTTGGTGATTGAGGTGTTGTTCTGCCAAGAGAATGTCGAATAGGCTCTGCGACTCGAGAACATAGTTTATGGCCAGTAGTTCATATTGAATGTGAATATTTCAACCTGAGATGTGAAATGTTTGTTTCATACAAAATCAGTGTCTTTTTCGACGTTCGGAACGCGTGCCATTTCAAATTGCCTGGAAAATCCTTTCAATTTGACCGGGAAGTGCTTGAGGTGAACCATTCGGGGAGATAAGCCGCGGTGATGGGGCAAAGGTGTTATCGTGTTGTGGAAATCCAAGATTATTCGTGGATGGGACCCCCAGGCTAAAATGCAAAGTCTTTTGGCGGCAATTTCAAAAATCAGGATATCATGGAATACCTTGAATAAAACATTTCATGTGCATGTTTTCGATTGTTTAAACAAGTGCAGTTTGAAGGACTGTTGGTAAGGAATTTGTTGCGTCATTCCCAGGAACAGTTTTTGTCTTCTTCAATTTTGCAGCAGCAGCTTGCTCTTGAAGTTGTTCATGGAAATTGGCTGTGATAA